GGTGGCCGGGAGCGGCCCCTGTACTCCAGTCTGGGCGACAGAGTGAGACTCCAACTCAAAACAAAAACAAAAACAAAAAAAAGAGTTTACCCATAAGCATTGTTTTATTTATATTTTTATTTATTTATAGCAGCTTGCTTGATTACTTATGAAAACTATTTTCTGACCAATCACTTTTTAGCATTTTACTGATAATTCAGAAGGTTTAGCAGTTTGGAACCAACAATTTTCACTTAGTTATGCTTATAACAAAGCACTTATATAAATAGAGATTATCCTGGTCTTGGCTAGGCTTGTAATTTTATAATGTTTGACGAAATGTATGCTGATATATATAAAAGATATATTTTTTATATTACTGCTAATCGTTAAAGTCATATGTATTTTATGAGTACTCATTTACTTGAAAGCCAATTTGGTAGCATGCTGGACAAAACATATAACAGGTATACATGTAAACATAATTAAACAAATCTAGATTTAATAACTTTTTAAAAGAAATTTTAGCCACGAAACAGTAACAAGTTTATTATTATTATTTATAAAATATCCAAATTTCAATTATATTTCTGACAAAATTGGAACCAACCTGCATGGCTAAACTTTGTCCCAATAGGCAGTGCAATAAAAGCTGCGTGGGTTTAAATGATGTTTATTTTTTTTAGTTAGAACTGGCTGAACTGTATAAGTAATACCAATGGAAAAGGGAGAAAGACAAAAACAAATTTAGAGAAAACTAAAAAAAATTAAAATCAGGGCTCTGAAACCAGAAATCAGAAATATGGCCATAAACAGAACAAACAAAACAAATTTAACCCGAGTAACATGAACATCCAGAGACCCTGTAGAGGGCCATCCAACATTACCAATTCATTTTGCAGAGGGTCCGGAGTTTGCCCTTTAAGAAATGTATTCCCTAATTCTCTGCGAACCTGACAGAGAAGTTTCTTAACATACAGTCCAGGGGACTTGTAGGTTTGCCTTAGACCCCATATTGTTAAAAAGCAGTAAATTATAGGAGGCACCTGATGAGAAGCAGACCTCTGATTACAAAGAGATAAGCAAAGGCTAATAAAAGTTTATAGCCTAAATGTCAATCTCGAGGTGTAGCAGAAGCAAGCCCTGTAGCAAAGAGCACAGCAAGAATGCAAAGCAGGGAAGGAGGCCAAGGCTGACCGGGATATAGAAATACCACGTCAAAGCGTGTACCCAAACAGAAACCCGATACTAAACCGAGACTCTGTTTAGTCAATGTCTTGGCTTAACAACAGTGTCTAAGGAGCAGCCTCATCAGGCAGAAGACTGACAGGTCGTGAATTCTGTGTACCCATAATAAACAATGAGCAGACAATAAACAAACAATTAAAACATAATGACAGATAGGGCATGTCCTGACCAAGTCATAAGAATTAGGATCCCTGGAACAACCTCAGGGCAGAAAACAGATCCCTGGAATGACCTCAGGGCAGAAAACCAGAGGACTCTATTCAGCCAATGTCTTGGCCTAATGAAGTGTCCAAAGGGCAATTTCCTCAGGCCGTGACTCCCTTAAACAGAATTGGGGCCACAAACAGAACAAAACAGTCTTACCTCCTAGGAGAATACAGATGGACTCGGGAATTTTGAGGCAACGGGAAACCTGTAGTCGTTCCAACTCTCTCCTAGCCAGGTGAGCGGCTATAACGTCCCAGGGGGCGGCTCCCCCATGCCTTCCCCACTGAGCCGGGGAGAGCTGGAGTGAAGCCACCTCCCGAGGTTGGTGACTGTCTCACTGGGGCCTCCAAATGTTATAGCTGGGTTGCGAGAAATGATGCCAACACGCAGAGAGGGTTGAATTGTGAGTCCTTTATTGAGGCCGTTGACCCAGAGTGGATTATGTCCCAAAGAACTCTCGGCCCCGAACAGAGTGAGTAGTGGGTTTTTAAAGGTAAATATTACATAAGCTGTACAGTTTGATATTTCTTGACAAACCATATGATCAGGGTTACAGAATTTATGCAACTAGGGAGTTTCCAATCACCGAGGGGCACAGGAATGTGGCTGTGCGGTATGATTATGAGGTTACATAAGGGGGTCGTCTCTAGGCTAAGATGGAAGATCTGTTACAGAATGGAGTTACTTACTCATGTCAGCAAGTTATTTCAGCAGGTTAGTATAGGTTTCGCAGCTAGATATTTCATCACAACGCTTTATTGAGGGGGTGGATGGGGGGGTAGGGGAAAGGCGGGTGTGGGGATGAAGAGTGGAGCTCAGCCTGGTGAACCTCCTGAGCTCTGCTGTTGCCAAAAAGCAGATCTTGGAATTCCTTTTTTTTTTTTTTTTTAGTTGGAGTCTCACTCTGTCACCCAAACTGGAGTGTAGCCGCCGCAGCCTCAACCTGCTGGGCTCTGGCGATCCTTCCGCCTCAGCCTCCCAAAGGTGCAGGATTACAGGCTGAGCCACCGAGCCCAGATAGGATCTTGGAATTCTAATCTGTTATGCATTTTGAGGTCTCAGGGAAGTCCCTTTTCCTCTCTGGACCTGTTTGCCTAGCTGTGTAACTTGCTTTGTAAAAGCAATGCACTGTTTTTCAAAGTGTGGTCCTTAACCAGGGTCACAAAAATGGTTGTTAAAAATTTATATTCCAAGCCGAGCTCGGTGGCTCAGCCTGTAATCCCATGCCTTTGGGAGGCTGAGGTGAGTGGATTGCTGGGTTCGAGACCCGCCTGGGCAACTTGGTGAGACCTCATCTCTACAATAAATCAAAAATGAGCAGGGTGTGGTAGCGTGTGCCTGTAGTTCCAGCTACTTGAAAGGCTGAGACAGAAGGATTGCCAGAGCCCAGCAGGTCGAGGCTGCAGTGG